TTGCTCCTAGTAGCGATGCCAGGAGCCCCTAGTAGCTTCTTGTTCCTTGCTCTTGCCGTCTTGTCGCACCTTGGGAGGCTCACTTTGCTCTCCACTGAGAGGTCCAAACCTGATCGCCCGAGAGCTCCGTGCGGGTCTCGCGTGCGGATCGCGTGCCAGGGACGCCATGTTCCGCATACCAAGCAGCTGGCAATCTCCACGTAACCAGGATTCTTTCAGGGAGTGAAATAGGCAACCACCCGGCACGGCCAACTCGATGTCAGCTAGTTGACGTCCCCTTTTGCAGCGTGCCAACTGATGATGCCCCCGATCCGAGGAACAGTGCGTCTCTTCGCACTCTGTGGTGAGTGAGTCTTTGGATGCGAAGGCCGCTGTTACCCACCGGGATGACACACGGCACCGCAGCGACCGATGTTTGCAGGGAAAAGAGATCTGAAGAGACCCATCCATCAAAACCTGGTTTCAAACCGCGAAATAAAGATGCCACGATCAGCCTCTGGTTCCCAGCTTCATGTTTACAGAAAGTCTTGCAAATGCCAAGCAAGGAACCTTTGCTTGCGTGATAATATCCAAGCCATGGTTCTCCTAGGGTTGATTTGTATATAACATGAAAGCGGATGGCATTGCATGGAAAAACCATGTCCTTCTGCATGCAAAGAGTCGTCCATTTCCGAAAGGAACAACCAACCAACTCGCGTCAGACGTCAGCGTGATTGGACCTGTGAGGAAAGATTATTGTTCACTGGTCACCCAAAACCTACTGCTGTTGAGCCAGTTGAGCCAGACCGACTCCCCTTCTTCCAAGACGAATGTCTCGCTCCGCCCCTTGCACCAGCTGAGTGGGCCGACCAAGAGATGTCCTCCGCGATCCGCGATCCGCGCACGCGGGGGTCGGAGGTGCCGGCCGCGCGGAATGCCAAGGGTCGGCCGTGGGATCATCCTGCATCCTCCAACTCCCCGATGTGCAGGCTAGGTCTAGGGGTGCATGGTTCTTGGAGCCTCCTGAAAGACCTGCGCTACGGGTGCATGGTTCCTTTTCGCAGTCATCCGGACAGTCTGTGGCCCGTAAGTTGATCAAGTCCCCTCCAATGCATTTGGAAGACGTTGCGATCTATCTGGGACCTGTGACTCTATGACTCAGATGCCGTCGGCTTTCCACGGACCATGGTCGGCTTCCACCCGCGCCTCCCGCAGACACTTCGCGTACTGCAGCAGGAGTTCCTCCACCCTGGCAGTGTTTCTCTCTCATGGTCTCACATGGTCCCCACAACACATCCGGATCCAGGTTTGCGGGCCCGAACACCAGGTGAATCTCGGAGGGTCCAGGTATTGGTCCAAGAATTCCATCCCCTATGATCTTTTCAGTGGTCCAACTGTGCCAGAGCCCTCCCGCTCACGTCCATTATATAGAGGTCAACAAAAATCTGTCGGGTCCGGTCTGCAGGGCGTCCGGCGCAAAAAATTGAAAAAATACAGTGGTTTCAGACTAGATGGCAGAAACCCCAAGAAGTCTTTTTGACGGGGGTCCATATAAACCACCTCTTGCGTATCGTGCCATCTACTCTCAACCCTCTTTTTGAACGACTTGCCAGCACCACAGCTGCGGCTTCTCTGGCCTCGATTCTGCCCCCGGAGGACGGAGCTTGCTAGACGAAAGATTGAAGTCGCAAGCTCTTGACAAAACGTTTTGAAAGCGTGATGGGATGGCCCATGGCATGTTCCAAGCATTCTGAACAAAACGATTCAAACGAGTTTTAAGGGATTGCCCTGACTTGTGCAACACAAGCGTCAGCAAGAAGCGTCGGAAGTTCTTGAATTCTAAGGTTTCATTAGAGAATTATGCAACACAGCCAGCAAAGCAAAAAAAGATGCTCCTGAAAATCAGTCTGACTCCGAACAAGTCAGTTCATTTGGTCCATCTATCTTCACAAATCTTCACAAAAAGCTTCAGTGCAAATCTGCCATTTTCAGCAAGGAGCCAGGAGCCAGGCCCTTCAGCCCGTACCAACCGCCGTTTGTCTCTCTGACTCATCTTCTCAACTTCTCCAAAGGACCCCCCAAAATGCGGCTCAACAACGTCTCGGGCTCCCCCGGCGAGTAGTAGTAGGACCGGAGGGTACGGAAGAGCGACGGCACGCCTACCCAAGGAGGCGGGGGCTCGATACGGCGAAGGACGGCACCCGGTGACCCTCCTCCGATCTGTGCGTCGCACTGCAGGTTGGAATTCCATGCCCAAATTACGCTCGGAACAAGAACTGGAAGTGAACAACCCCCGGTGAAAGTGTTCCTTTCTGGCGGAGTCATAGAGACCTAGAAAAAACGTGTGTGCCATGCGAGGAAAACACCCCCATGATGCTTCCTGCGCTTTGAAGCACCAACCACTCGCCCCGGGCCTTTCCGCAGCCTCGCGCGCAGGTACTCGTCTAACTTCCGCTTAAAACGTGGGCCGGTGATGAAGAAGAGGGGTAGCCTGATGCAAAGAGATGCAAAAAGTTGAAAAATTCCATCAGGGGTGAGCAACCCATGCATGTTCAGACCTCAAGACATACCGTTTCGGGGGTTGGCAATTACCATGCCCAATTATATGGCGAAGCCGCGAAGTCTGTGGAAAAAGCATGTGATGTAAACATGCTATGGTTTCCTGTTGGCATCAGCTCCATACTCTTCCCTTCAGGCCGCTGCACAGCTGCACTGCACAGGTGACTGTGCTTTGGTTTCCACCTGCCTCCGTCCGCTGGGCCACCCGGACCGCTTGAGGGAGTCCGATTTGGGAAAGTCCTCTCGGAGCTCTTCGAACAAGGCCACCACCTGGGCGGTCCGTGCGACGTTTTTTCGCGGTCCCGGGGTCCGCGACCATGGGATCAACGAGGTGCTCAAATCCCACAAATCCAATAGAAAAGATACAAAACGAACCAAAACGAAAAGACACGGATTTGTCTCTGGTCCAAACCACTGAGGATGGCACTCTCTCTTGTTGCTCATCAGTCAGTGGCACCTTCAGCGCGTGTTGCTCACGACAGAGGCTTGAGCTGGGAGTAGGAGGGGATCCTTTGCTACCTTATTTGGATGATCACACGCACTGGTGGTAGGGCAAGCACAAGAAAAATTAGTTTTCTTTGATTTGGGAATCCATTCGGAGACACACCCATGGAAAAAGAATATTGGCTACACGTATTTATCCACAAACAAAAAAAGCGAACATGCACCTGGTCAGGCCAAGTAGTCTGTCCCTCACACAGTGGTGCCTTGATGGGTTCAGACAGACCTTCATTGAATTGAAGAGACAATCGCTACAGGTCGTCTCGGATCAAGGGCCAGCCGTGAGGATTTCCGTGCCGGTTCACCTCGATGCTAGGAGTCTTGATGCACATCAAAAAAGGAGACAACAGTTGAAGGGAACAGAAAATTGCGTGATGTAGATGACCAACCACAAAGCATCATGCACCATCATGATTGAACACAGCTCTTCGGGGTTGAAGTTTGGTAGAAGGGCGTAAAGTCCTCTCGCCCGACACCCGATCGTGGACTGGCTTTCTAGCGCTAAAGACTCCCCAATTCAACGCCTCAGGTGAACGCACACCTCTAGTAGCGATGCCCTTGTTACTAGTAGCTTCTTGCTATATACTAGTAGTAATGCCCTTGTTCCTAGTAGCGATGCCCTTGTTCCTAGTAACGATGCCCTCTCCACTTCTCAACAGTTGACTTTTCCAAAAGACATCGAACACCGGACAGGAACCCGGACAGGTCTTTACCCGTCCCTGTTTAAGGGCTGTGGCTGAGGGCAATTTCTGGCAGAGGCCATAGCTGAAGGCATTTATCGAGGACTATTCGTAGGAGCAGCTACTAGTGGTGCCATTGTTGCGATCAGACTTGAGAGGCGGCCTCTGTCGAAACTCCTCGACTCCCCTACGTTCTCCAGGAAGGAAAAAAGGACTGCGTCCGGACAATTCCGATGTGGACGGATCACACCTCGGCTTCGAGGGTCTCGATCCTCCTCTTGTGCCTCAGTGAAGCCATGCAACTGGTGTTTGATCGCTTTCCCTGGCTGATCCGGGCTTCAAGTATGGCGGACTTTGCTCTACCAAAAGTCACCGGCACCCCTCTCTCTATCAGTGGCCTTTAGATCAGTGGTGTGTCCAAGTGTATCCAAATGTGGGTTTGTGTTCATGGTTTACCTGATTTTTCCCCAAACAGGTTTACCTGTGAGGGGTTCTTACTCCTTTTAGGGGGGTGCATGCTCGGGCCGGATGATTTTGAGTTTGTCTCCGGGCTTGTGTTCCTGGCCGCATGATTTCACCCTTGTCTCCCACTTGTCTCCCA